CTGCTGCTGCTGCTGCTGCTGCTGCTGATATTGAATATACAAAAGCCATTGTAATCTGAACGCAGCAGCTGCCGCTGTTTTAGGAGAAAAGAACAAAGCGCGCCGTTCGCCAGCTGTACATACACCCCAAACCCTAAACCCTAAACCCTAAACCCTAAACCCTAAAACCCTAAACCCTAGGAAAACCCTAGAAAACCCTAAAACCTAGTAAACCCTAAACCCTGCAAAGCCATTCTCCACTACAGATTTCAAGCGATTGCCTGCAGGCATGGATACAGATAAAACAAATCTAGGGTTTAGGGTTTAGGGTTTAGGGTCTAGGGTTTAGGGTTTAGGGTTTACCTCGATAAGGACCTGCTGCTTCGCCTTCAGCTGCGCCTCCGTTTCTGATGGTTTTCTATCCTTGGCTGTAATTTCTTTCACTGTACACAAACCCTAAACCCTAAACCCTAAACCCTAAACTCTAAACCCTAAACCCTAAACCCTAAACCCTAGACGCTTAGCCCGTCATCCCGACCCCCATCACTGCATAAAAAACCCTAGCGGCGTCGTCAAACCCTAAACCCTAAACCCTAAACCCTAAACCCTACCGAATTCTGTTAACTCCATTGGGGGGGGCATGAGAGAAGGAGGGTTTTGAGAGAGGAGGGTTTGCGTTTCCTTCGTCAGCGGCATCTGCAGCCACGACGGCCACATGCGGCGCCAGAAAGCTGAAACCACAAACCCTAAACCCTAAACCCTAGTAAACCCTAGTAAACCCTAGTAAACCCTAGTAAACCCTAAACCCTNACAAACCCTAAACCCTAAACCCTAGTAAACCCTAGTAAACCCTAGTAAACCCTAGTAAACCCTAAACCCTTACAGCAGCTGTACGACATGGTTTTAGCAGGTGGATCAACGGCGAGAGACAATCCTAAACCCTCATTTCCGAGGGTTTAGGGTTTAGGGTTTAGAACGAGGGTTTAGGGTTTAGGGTTTAGGGTTTAGGGTTTACCGAGCAAATGACCTAAGTCAAGAGGAGCGTGATAGAAGTGCTGAAAAGCAACCGGAAAATTCAAAGCAGCAAAGCGGCTCCACCCGGCGAGGAGATGAAACTCTCCGAGGGTTTCGTCCTGCACAAACCCTAAACCCTAAACCCTAAACCCTAAACCCTAAACCCTAAACCCTAGGCCTTGGATTTGGGGGTCTACAAGGTCGCTGGAAAACTCATCCGCACACCCGAAACCCTAAACCCTAGATTTGTACACTATGCAGCTGCTACACACGAAAAACATATCCATCATACGGGCTAGGGTTTAGGGTTTAGGGTTTAGGGTTTAGGGTTTAGGGTTTACTCGTCTGGGGTCTGCGGCAGAGAAGGTCGCATTGAGCTGATCCAAAGCATCAGCAACACGCCCGGATAGCAGCAGTTTCCGTAGCTGCACACAAACCCTAAACCCTAAACCCTAAACCCTAAACCCTAGTGTGGATATACTAATTAGGGTTTAGGGTTTAGGGTTTAGGGTTTAGGGTTTAGTGTGTTTGTTTACCTGGTATCTGAAGGGGACGGGTAGGAGCACTTGGAGTGTATGTGCAGCAGCAACAAAGATAGGGTTTGCATCTGTTTGTTGTTTATATTTATATTTATATTTATATTTATTTTTATATAAAACAACAGAAACAGAAACAGGAGAAGGGAGAGAAAAAGAACAAAATAAACAAAAAGATGAGGACGCCCAGTTGCTGCTCCATACACCCCCCCCCCCATC